AAGTGTTCTTGCATTGCCATGGGAGATAACATGAAGGCTCCACTTTTCCTGACCATGCGTCCTTTAGCATTACTAATGGTCCTCTGACTGCATGGCCATAAATAAGCTCAAAAGGACTATATCCTAAGCTTTCCTGTTCACTCTCTCGTAAGGCAAGGAGGAGGAAAGGAATACCTTCATCCCAGCCTGTTGAGAACTGCTCACAGTATGCCCTCATTATGATCTTAAGGGTTTGGTGAAACCTCTCTATGACACCCTGGGTTTGGGGTCTATATGCTGTTGAAACAATGGGTTTAACTCCGACCCTGGACATAGCTTCACGGAAAATCTTTGATGTGAAATTCGTCCCTCTGTCAGATTGAATCTCCTTAGGGAATCCGAACTGTGCAAAGAATCTAAATAGACCTCTCACAATAGCCTTAGCACTAATCTTGCGTAGGGTCACAGCTTCTTGATACCGAGTAGTCGTATCCATTATAGTAAGAAGATATTGGTTGCCAAGCCTAGTTTTTGGGAGAGGTCCCACACAGTCTACTACGAGCCGAGAGAAGGGTTCGCCTTCTACGGCAATAGGTAAGATGGGCACAGGAGGTTTTTGTGCAGGCTTTCCAATGAGCTGGCAAATAACACAGTTTCTCAAGTACTCAGTCACGGTATCCTTCATTTTGGGCCAGAAGAAATATCGGGCTAATTTTCCTAGAGTCTTTCTTATTCCCAAATGTCCACCCATGGGGCTAGAATGTGCCACTGCCAACGCTAACTCCCGAAATCGGACAGGTAAAACCAAAAGCTGTTTTGGCTTGAGACATGAATTAACTGAAGTCTACGGAAATTTCTTCATCAGGATACCGTCAGAGTAATAAAAACATTCTTCCTTACCCACAGCTTCCATCTCAGTAAGCGCTTGATCCCTTGCCTGTTTCAACGGCGGATCTTCAAGCTGTTCTTTCACTAAATTTTCCCGATTAAAGTCGTTGCTCCATAATGGGGCAAAATGTACCACTTGGGATTTTGGAAGCTGATTTTTGACTTCGTGTTGATCACTGGCACTGAACATAGCATCCAAACCCCAATCTGAGGGTTCATCAGGAGTAGGCAGTGGTTCCAAATTTTTAGCCATAGCCCTTGTTATAGCTGTAAGAGGGAATAGACAAGGACCTTCCTTACACCCTTCAATGGCGTAATTCTTTCCAGAGAACTTCTCTATAACTCAAGGTTCTCGGCAAATTCCTCCTCTTACTAAATCATTACCCACCAATAGATTCACACTCTTATGGGAAAATCAGTATCAGAAAGGCCCACAACAGCTTCTCCTTGATATGAATCTACGTTCACATACACCTTATGAAGGGGTACTCTTGTGATGGCGCCACCGTAACCTTCTAGCAGAACATCCAGGTTATTATTAGAGGAAGTACTCCTTTTCTCAGTAAGGCCAGGTAGTTTCCCGTATCCCGATAGGATACTATGTCCACCATTTGGTCCTCTAATTCCAGCCTTACCCTTAAACAGTAAGGCAACATGGCTTCCGAAACTTCGTCTGCCAACAACTCAGAGGGAATTAGGCACTTCGATTTTGAGGATGACGTTATCTGTACAGGTAATGTTTCGAAACCTGACCGCCTACGGTCTCGACTTAATTGGAAACATGAGCGCCTCCAATGGCCTGGTTTCTGACAATAAGAGCAAGTTGGGCCTCTTCTTGTTGCATCTCTCTCATAAGATGGTCTTCCTTTACCATTACTATGGACGACACTCGAGTAGGCTTTTGCTGAATGAGGAGGAGAGGTCTGCTGATCCATTTTCCAAGGAGAGAAAGGCTGACTCTTAGAAGAACATAACCTGGCTTTCTCTCTAGACCCTTTTTCCTTTGCATTTGAAAGGTTATCTCAAAGTGATCAGCTAGAGAAGCAGAGGCCAACACATCTGCAGTCTGGTGTTCGATAACAAAGGAGCGTACATCGCCCGTCAGAGAGTTCTGAAATTCTTCTTGTAAGATCAACTGTATCAGACTCTCCATAGTATCACACCCAGATGACCTCAGCCATCGCTCTAGAGCCACCTTCTTTTGCCGGGCAAATTCTACCCAGGTTTGGCCGGGCAGTCTTCGTAGAGAGCGGAAGGTACGCTGATAACTAACGGGAAGTAAGTCATACTCCTTTAAAATGATCTTAACTGCCTCGTAATCTGCATACTTATCATACGGGAGAGATGCAGTACATGATTGTGCCTTACCCTTAAGTGTTGTGTGAAGTAAGGTAGCCCAGTGTTCACGAGGCCATCTCATCCCTCGTGCCTGATTCTCAAATGTGTCGAAGTGTCCAAATCTGTTTCACAGAACCTAGGCACTAATGAGGCTGCTCTATGAAGGTCAAAGGTCAAGGTTAGAGTAGCGGACGACTTACTCTTTTCCTCCTTTTTGCCTCTCGAATCGGATGTCTTCCCTCTCGAACTCTTCTTTATACAGCAGGCACTGAGATTCCGGTTGCTCTGTTTGCAAATTCATAAGATATTCAAGACATTGAAAGTGTTCGAGTGTGAGAGGAGTCAAAGGTACTGGAGGAGTGGGAGGAGAGTGTCCCTCTATGTGAAGCTTGGGACGAGCTCCATCTCCGGTCGTCCCTATACGACCAGGGCTAGCTAATGGGCTCTCATTACACTTATCAGGTGGTGGCACGTTTTCCCGACACAGAGACTCTGCTCCCAAAGTGAGGCCTTCAAATGAAGCCACCAAATGAGCTACTCCTAGGGACAAAGATTCCTCCGAGGGTGTCTTGCCATGCGAGTCCAACTTCGGGACAGTGTTGGACTCGCTGAGAAAACAGTATGTTCTGTATTATAGAACGGACGGTACTCGCTGTATAACCATTGTTATAAGAAATTCCCAAATATCTAGCCACTTGCCAGCATTGTTGTAGTGGCAAAGTCTTCAGCGTATATGGAGTTAAGTCCTTCACCAACTCTGATATGTCACGATCCATGGTCAAGAAGTTCAAAGCTCCCGAAACAGGCCCCCACTTGTTACGGTTCGAATCTTAATCTTTAGCCAGGTTAGTGCACTCCCTAACAATACACTTAATAGAATGAGAAGATACTTCCAAACTTAGAAATGTAAGGCACAAATAATAGTTACTCAGTCTTTTCTAGTTTCTTTTAATTTAAAAGCTTAAATACTTTTTAGATATTCATAAATATCTATTAAATATCACTTCGTCAGAAACTTTCATTCACATAAGAAAACGCTTAAATAGAATGTACATCAATATGGTCACTACACTTGTTAAATAATCAGAGGAATATTACTGCTCCCTCAATAATGACATTACTTGTACGCGAGTATATACATTGAGAATGGACACTTTCACTGAGTAACTCCCTGGCATAAGGAATATATCATTTAAAGTTCTAAACTTGACACAGGCCGGGCTATCGTAAACTGAAGGTAACAGTATATAACTGTCGGCAGACTTCACTTCAGAATAAACCTCAAGCTGGTTCAGGAGTTTCTACAACAGAATTCTCTATCCAAGTGAGAATAAGGCAGAGTACTGGAGGGGTAGCTCAGTCAATGCACACTGAGTCGGCAGAGAGAGTGAAATGAATTAACACAGTTAACCCCTGCATGACATCAACTCGCCAAAGGGGAGAGGGAATAGTAGGCTAAACTACCCTCCAAGGACATACCTTGTTTCAACTCTTAGCCAGCTGTTACCTACCTACCCAACACATTACTCAAAATACATAAATATATATATGCACATCATACCCGGGTATATTCCTAAATCAGATAATATTGTTGAATTAGACACATGTGCAACTTTGGGTATCTTTATTGATGAAACGTTTCGCCACACAGTGGCTTCATCAGCTCATACAAAGGAGAAACTTGAAGAACAGGAGGAGAATGAGGTAATCAGTCCCTCAGCCTTGAGTCGATGTGGTCAGTCCATCAATCTTGAATAGAATACGGCATATGAACGGAGAAGCAGCTTATAAACCGTAGACAGGAGAGGTGCAGCAGTCGTAGGTGGTCACATTTGTCCAATGTGGGAGTAGGTCGTGCCCAAGGGTTAGGCAAGTGAAGAATTCCCAAGTATTAAGATTCCAAGAAGTTGCAGTGTCTTACAGGATTGTAGATGAATGGTTCAGAGAACCGACATGTTGTTGAATTAGACACATGTGCATCTCTTGGGTATCTTTATTGAGGAAACGTTTCGCCACACAGTGGCTTCATCAGTTCATACAAAGGAGAAGTGTTGGTGTATCACTTACAGTCGCTTCCAGCATTAGCTGTGGTGGAATTGCGTCATACGCCGCAGGGATGTGGAACCTAGGGGAGCAGGACATTGTTCTGGCGTTCTGAGGGACCTGGTAACCGGGGTGGGGTTGGTGGATGTGGAGGGGGGGCGTCGTGGGAGATGGAGCACACCTTTGTGAGGCAAGGGTATGCTGCACGGCTGGACAGGATCTACGTGACAAGGAAAGCAGTGGTGCGGAGTGTAAGGGCTTTGAATGTGTCTTTTTCTGATCATAGAGGTGTTTTGGTGGATTTGGGATGGGAGGGTCGGCTGAACAGGTATAAGAGTTATTGGAAATTGAATATTCGGTTGCTTCAAGATGTTGAGGGGAGGGTTCTATTTGCACAATGGTGGAAAGGCTTATGGGAGGGGATGGAAGTCAGTGTGGGATGTTTTGAGATAGTGGGATGTGACGGCGAAGACGAGGATTCTAGAGTTCTATGTACGACAGGGATGGCACGAGAATCAGTTGGCTTATGGGCTTATTAGGTATCTTGAGGGTTAGTTAAGGGAGTATTATGAGAGAGGAAGGGAGGAATGGGAGCCCCAGTTGCTGACATAGAGGGAGTGAAGGAACGCCTAATCGAAGTGCAAAACGAAAGGTTTGATGCGGCAAGGGTTTTAGGGGGGTTGGAGGAGGTCATGTGGGGTGATAGACCATCGGCGTGTGTCCTGCGAGGGCAGGGACACTGGCTCGTTGCAATGGAAATGGTGGGTTTGAGGGTTCTTGAGGACATCGAGGGTTATATGGAGGGACAAGATTTGGTGACAACAGAGGGGATGGGAAGGTATGTTGATGCTTGGCTTTGTGCATATATGAGGAGTGTGGGTGTGAGAGAGGGGGCTTTAAGAGAGATGGGGGGATGGGTGCAGTGTGTGCTGGACAGGGATGACAGGGAACAGTTACAGGGACCTATTGTGGAGGAAGAGGTGTGGACGGCTTTAATGAGCATAAGCAGGGGTAAGGTGCTGGGAATAGATGGGCTGCCTGCAGAGCTTTACATACAGCATTGGGGAGTAGTAAAAGACTTTTTGGTGCAATTATTTAATATCATGAAAGAGAGGGGTGCGTTTGGACCGTTGCAGGCGACAGCGCTAGTAGTTTTGGTGCCAGAGGATGAAAGTCAGTGCACGGTGAGAGATTACCAGCTGATATCACTCATGTGCGCAGACTACAAACTTTTTGCAAAAATTTTGGGAAATCGTATAAAGAAAGTCATTGGAAAGGTAATAGTGAGGGGTCAATATGGGATTCCGGGGAGATCAATGTATGAGGGGCATGGGGTTATTAGAAGGCTTATTGAGGGTTCGCGAGAGGGGAAACGAGGGGTATTGGCGTTGGATTGGAGAACGGTGTATGACAGTTTCGAGAGAGAGGCTCTGTGGAGAATCATGGAGCGGCAGGGGTTCCGGGAGGACATTGTAAATTGGGCACGTACTTCATATCAGGGAGCCGGGATGTGTGTACAGATTAATGGGCGGGTGGGGTTGCATGTGAAAATGGGCAGGAGATTGAGGCAGGGATGCCTGTTGTCACAAATATTATTTGCATGTTTACAGAATCCGTTTTATAGTGCAGTGGAAAGGTGCATACAGGAGTGGGTAAGGGAGGACATACGAGGTGGGAGTCCCGGTATCATAGGTTATGTTGATGACACAATTGTCCTAGTGAGTGGGAGGGAGGGACTGGAGGGTCTGGAGAAAGTTATAGATGTTTTTGGGATGGTAACATGTATGACAGTGAATGTGCATAAATCAAAGCTCATGAGATTGGGTGAATGGGATTGGCGGGAGAGCGGGAGGGCTGGGGTGGGGGGATGAGGTGGTGTGTCATGGACCAGGTGAAAATTTGTGGAGTTGTGTATATGGGTAATGCTCAGATGGCGAGGGAGGTTAATTTAAAGGGTGTGGTAGATAGAGTATTGGGAAGATTGACAGGATTGCGGCCGACACATCTTACACTACACCAGAGGGTCATTGTGGTCAATGTGCATTTGTACAGCAAAATATGGCATGTGGCAGCTTTGTACCCTTTGGTGTATGGGGATGTCCGAAGATTGTTGAGCAGAGTTTTCCGTTTTATCTGGGGTTTGGGATGCGAATGGTTGAAAAGGGAGGTGATAACACTTCTGGTGGCCTTGGGAGGGATGGGGTTAATTCACTTGGAAAGAAGGTTTAAGTGTGTATATGTGAAACATGGTTTTCTAAGGGTTCGGGGGGAGGGGAGTGGAGGGTTGGGGATGCTGCAGGGAGATATTCGGAGATGGTGGAAGGGACAGGATTTGAGAGATGGTGAGGAGTTGTTGCGTCTATTGGTGATGGTCAGAGATCCGAGAAACATGCGGGTAGGGTCCATGGCCTAAGGTGGCAGTGGCAACGGAAGAAGTGTACCTGATGTACGCATGGGAAGACATTTGGTGTCGATTAAAAGGGTTACGCATCCGGCCGTGCGTGAGGGAGGTAATGTATAGGTTTCTTCACGGAATATTGCCGTCTGGGGTTGTATTACAAAATAGGCGAATAAGGGAGGGTGGGGAGTGTCAGGTTTGTGAGATAGATGAATCAGCTTTTCATATAGTTTATTTTTGCGAAAGCCTAGGGGTTGTGCAGGACTGGTTAAGGAAAGTAATCCGGTATGTGGGGGGGAAAGGGTTGTCGGTTTTGAGAGCGCTAAGTTTAGATGTAGGTGGGGTAGGGGTAAAGGTTCAAAGGGAAGTGGCTTACTTTGTGGTTGATTTCGTGTTTATATCATGGGCAATGAGAGACAAGGGGGCGGAGGAACGTAGGATGGCCATAGCAGCATCCTTGTATAGAACAAAGTGTCGCAACAGGGAAATATATGGTAGGAGGTGGGAGAGGAATTTGTCGGAGGGCTATAGGGACTTTCTTTTGACGGATTTATGGACTTTACAAGCGGTCAGGGGCATGATTGGGCTGGCCTTTCCCGGAGGGGGGGTTGTGTGTTGCAGAGGTCGATTGTGTGTGTGTGGAATTGTGTGAGGAAAGGATGTTGAGGTGAGTTTTGAGTGTGACACATTAAGAGGTGTGTAATAGGTTTTCTCCAATAGGATTAACGCCAATTGTTTGATAATCTCCTGCTTTATTATACATATTGTGTGTGGTAATGTTGATTTACGGTAATGACATTGTAATTTGAGGTTTTATTCCAATAATTGCATGTATTTGCTCCAAATTGTTTCTAGGTGCCTTGCACTGCATAGTGTTGACGCTGTGATCATGCACGGTGTCCAGAGATATGCTGTGATATGTTTGTATTAATGTCTGTGCATTATTGTTCGTCACTGGTGATCTGCAATTTTCAGTTTTGTTTTGAGAATAAAGAGTTTAATGTACGTCAGATAGTGTAAATAAAGTTGGGCAACAGTGGTGTTATAGGTTTTTGTGGTTAGGTGCGTGCTAGGCACAGTCTTTAGGAGTTACTTATGTTATAGTTACATTTTACGTTGTATTGTACTGTTGTCATCAGCACTATGTTATGTCCGTATAAGCTGTATAGAGCTTGAATGTTGAAGCTGTGTTATTGTTTTTTAACGTTTGGAATTGCATGTTTAAATGTGTAGAAGCTTACATGTGTAAAGTAAAAGGACACAAATGCAACTAATGTGACATTTTATTGTGGCAACGTTTCGCTCTCCAGGAGCTTTGTCAATCCGATACAAGCAGTATATGGACACAGAGAGTATATAAAGGCTCAGAGTGAGGTGCAATACTAGTGAGGTACCATTTCGATGTTCACTAGGTTAAACTCAATCGCAAACTTCAGTACCTCTGCACTGTTGCAACCCCTGAATGGGTTGCAATGATTATTATGTATATATATAATTATTACCTTTTCATTTAATTTTATATTGCTTATATTTGCGATAATAGCTAAATCGTAAATGTATTGCTTTATATTGTTATTTGACTTGTTAGGTAGGATGTAACATATTATGTGCTCAGTTCAAGTCTTGATTGTCTAACTACTGTAATTATCGCTCTTTGCTCGTTATTCTGACGGCTTCTGTTTCTCGCTGGGCAGCGACCCACAGAGCTATCACGTGATCGAGGGGGGGGGGGTCTTCACCTCGCCTGAAGTATTCAGTCTGGTCTAGACTCTCTTGGTGGTTGGACAGATTGTCTGTCTCATTATTCTTGTTAGTTCTGTAGAACTCTGTTCACAGAACCTTGTATAGACTTAGTGATTTTCGACGTTGTACTGAGGTTGTGTGTCGCATAGACACTCTGAGCAACTCAGGTCCTGAGCTGTAGCTTCTGACCTACTAACTTGTACTGGTATCTGTGTATTATCACAGTCTGGTGATTTTCTTATGCTGAACTTAGATTCAGTATTATAGGAGTTTTATGACTTTCGTGGAGGATCTGCTGATGGTCCCTACTAAGTGTCGTTATATTATCTCCTTGATCCTGATTGTGTCGCAGTTGCTTGTTGTATTGCTATTGGGCTTAGCATTCTTTTTATTGTTCAAGCAGACTGTTCTGGTTGCCAGTCGGTCAAGAAGTTAGTTTATGTGAGGACTTTGTCAGTCACTTGTTTAAGTCTAGTCGAGTCGTGAGACAGAGAACTACTTAGAGCACTTACATACATACACAAACTTACTTGTACATATTTGTAATATCTTATTAAATGTTAATGTACCAGACGGTACTTAAGAATTATAAATGTGATATGTGCTTTCAGCACAATAATATTGTACTCGAGAGATGTGATATTATTTTGATTACTGTGATTAATTTAATTTAATTTAATTTGATAATATACCTCTAGACTTAATAAATTTATTAAATTTTAATTTCTCTAGTTAGTAGCCTACCAGTTGTAATCCTGAAGCACTATTGATACATACTAAATTCTAATGGATAATTGGACAAGGATACTGACTACTTGTTACGAAAACCCAGTAACAGGCTGGATGCTAGAAGGGCAGTCCTTTCTAGTATTCACTGGAGATCTCTAAGCATTTAGAATCGCGTTTTTGTAACATGCACTAACAGTCGATGGAAGGAAATGGGACGCGAATCCCTGATAAACAACTTATCGTCACGCACCTTAACTGACTACGGGAAACAAGCACTGAGTTTGGGATTCAAATTTACCACCAACATACGCAAACCTAACTATCAACTCAAACTAGTTACCAGGAACCATAGACACAGTGACAGCAACTTCCAGAAGGGTTATTTACAGGGCCTTCTCACTGCAGCTTTATGTGAACCTTCTTCTAATCTTCCTAGACATACATCACTGCCCTTAAGGACCTCACCAATGGCCCCAACATTATCGTCACCACCGCCGACGAAGGAGGTGGAGTTGTCATACTCAACACCAGTGACTACAACACTAAAATGATGGATCTTTTGAGTGATCAGTCTACATACGAACCCATCAGCACTCAACAGTGGGAGACACTCACCAAAGATTTTCTATACAAAACCAGACAAATACTGAAACGCACTAGAGAAGGGAAGAAACTTCTGTACTTGTTACCAAGCAACCGTAAACCAGCACACATGTATGGTTTACCCAAGACCCATAAACACAATATTCCTCTCAGACCCATCAAGTCAGGTATAGGCAGTGCTCCACACAAACTAGCCGGAGTTCTTGCCAAACATCTTTCCTGCCTTCTGGGAACCATCAGCCCCGCTCATCTTAAACACTCAGGCGATCTTCTCAACCACATCCGCAACCTCTCCATCCATAACAAGAAACTAACAGTTTGGACGTGACTTCCCTCTTCACAAAAGTACCTACCACTAAAGCCAT